CAAAAAATCTGTTGGCCATCTTCTCTAACTGATTTACTGTGGTCTCCTCTGAGACATGTGCCTCGTTCAGGATCTTGATTAGCACACGAGCATGCTCTTCGGAATGTATGAGCAGAGATAGTAGTGAGATTTAGGCAGGAGTCTTTCTCAGCTGGTCGATGATTGAGTAATCCTGAACTTTCATCTTTTTCAAAAACTCTTCCGCCTCTGCTTTAGTGACTGGTTTCTTTATTGGAAATTGTCCTTCTCTGATTTGCTTGGCCTCCCTCAACTCTTCTGGTGAGTAACATCTCCCCGATCGAGTCAAACCTCCAGTTTCCCCCACTTCCTCTATGATTTCCTTGCCTTTTTAGGTCATCACATTTTTGTTGTAGTTCCAAGGAGTGGTTTTCGTGTTTGTCACAGGGGGTTGCACGACAGGTTTGATTATGATCGGCTCTGTTATACCTTTTGTACCTCCCTGATTTTGCCTTGTGATGGGGTGGCCTCCAAGTACATATAACCTTGGGCTTGGATCATTGAGTGAACTTCCAACCTTGAGATTTTTGGAACAAATAAAGTTGCCTTTTTTGAGCTCTGGGCGCCTTTCACAATCAATGGCACATCTAGGCTTGGACTTACTTCTAGACCTGTTACTTCTTGAATTGCACCCACTGTCATTTCTGCTCGACCGAGCAACTTGTATTCTTAACCTCGGCCGATCATTCCCACAAAATAAATATCATTGTGTGCTTGCAACGAGTTGTTTTTCACATTAGGAGGGTCCTCGCCATTCGTCACTACAATCAGTTTTCAGAAATGAGTTTCTCTATGGCTCTTTTCAGAGTCCAACAGTCATCAATGCTATGCCCCGGGGCACCTGAATGATATTCACATCTAGCATTTGCTTGAAATCCATGTGAATCAGGATGCATATGGTGGGGAGCGATGGGTCCAATCACGCCCATTTGGTTCAGCTTCTAGAATAGAGTAGAGTATGATTCAACCAATGGAGTGAATTTTTCTGTCGGCTCTCTCGACCATAATCCTGCCTGGGACGAGCATTGTAGGGTGCCCGAAAATTTTGCTGCTGAGGTCGGGGGATCCTTGGAGCTTGTGCCCGTACCTGCTGATTGGGAGGCGGAGTGTATGATTGAGCATTAAACACTGTATATTGTGGTGGGCCCATGGAGTATTGAGGAGTTGGCGGGGGATAATAATGTTGAGGGTAGTTGGATTGCCCCTGCTGAATTTGCACATAAGGGTGTGATGCCCCTCTTTGAACTTTTCTGGATCCCGAAGTCATCATGGACCCTTCATCTCTCTTCTTTCTATTTGCCAAACCTCCCGACCCATTTTGGATAGCTTGGGTGGTGGCTTTGAGAGCAGCTTGACTTACAATTCTGCCAGTCTTGAGGCCATTTTCGACCATCTCCCCTATTTTGATTGCTTTTGCAAAAGGTCTACCCATCGCGGACATCATGTTCTGAAAGTAATCAGGATCTTGAGCCTCCAGAAAAATAGTGATCAACTCGTGGTTATCCATGGGTGGCTTAACTCTAGCCGCTTGCTCCCTCCACTTGATGGCATACTCCTTAAAACTTTCGGTCGGCTTTTTCTTCATATTGGACAAGGAATTACGATC